GGATTCAGCTGTTCACCTTCCTCCATGTCACTGCTCGAGGCTGAGGCAGTCTGTGAGGGAGCCGTCCGTATGGCGGGAGACGGCGCCATCTTGGCTGAGGCTCTAGCCATTGCCTCTGCTATGGGTTTTCCCGTATTTTTGGCTTTCTGGTCTTTCTTGGAACGGGATTGCGACATGGCTGGCCCCAGGTATCAGTCCGGGGTTAGGTTCAGATTGGCGGGCAATGCCGTACTGGAAGATGCCCGTCTCAACTGGGATTTCAAGTCTTCTTGTAAAAGGAGAAAGCTGTGGGCAGGCAATACCGCCACTGGTGGAATTGAGTCCTCCCCCTCCGGGTACATGCGGGACAAGGCATCGGGCTTGACGTTTTTGGACCCAGGGCGGAAGGTAATGTGCATCGAGAAGCAGGGAAAAAAAAGCGCCCATCGGGCCTGGCGAGGCCGAAGCCTTTTTGCGGACCTTGTCCAGGAAACAGGCCGGGGTCAAGGGCTGGCAGCAAGCAAGAGAGTAGTCCAGGGCAATCCGAGTCAGAGGCAGGCTTTAAACAATACAGGAACACAGGATACAACACATCAAGCTGACAAGACCATCAGCAATGAAAGAGAGGCTGACTCCTCCTTAAATAGTCCCAGGATACTGACAGCTACCTCACTTCCTGTGTGGTTTCCCGCACATTTTGCCGCGATTTCTCGCGCATGCGGCGTTCGCCGCGATTTTGTCGCGGCTGCAGTGCCTTCTTCACTTGTGCTCGGATCCCCCGCTGCCTCTACCCAGGAAAGCAGCAGAGATTCAGAGGAGAAGCTGAGCCCCCCTTTGTGCATGGCCGAGCGGCAGAGGATCGGTACATATGTGTGATATGTACCAGACCTCTGTGATCAGCTGATCACTCCAGTGTTTGTAAATAACTGGGGACACATAGTACTATGTGTCCCCAGTTATGAATGAACAGGACGTGATTTACATCACTTCTTGATCATTCATGAGTTTACCTTTGGGGAGAACCACTCTGTACAGAGGCTCCTCCCCATTCAGAAACTGCTTGATAGTAAATAGTTTCTGAATGAAGGGAAAGCCTCTGTGCTTTCCATTCACTTAGAACAGAAAATGCAAAAAAAGAGATTGAGGACTAAAAAAAAATAAAAATTAAATATATTTTTAATGTGTGTTTTTTGATGTGTGTGTTTTAATGTGTGTGTTTCATTACGTGTGCAATGTGTGTTTTTAATGTGTGTGATATCTATGTATGTGTGGTTTCTTTTTATAATGAGTGCGTGATGTGTGTTTTATTGAGTGTATAATGTCAAGGTATTACTGTACTTATTTTCAGCGCTGGCACTTTGAGATAAATAAATTGATTTTGCGTCGCAGTTTGGGCACTCGGGTTCAAAAACGTTCGCCATCACTGGTATATAGTGTACTGTATATAGAACAAATAATTAATATAAGACCCTGCTCCCAAAATTAATTCTTAGGCACTTGGGCAGGGACAGTTTGTGTAGAGAGTAATTAATCGGTTTCAGGAATGCCAGGAAAAGTCCATACAAACATGAGAGATCATATAAACTCCATGTATTGTTCATTAGGTGGATGAAAGCAGAAGATTCCAGCTGTTTGTGTGGAAGAGACTTCAAGACCAGAGACTGGAAGTGATTTCACATTGCACTCTATGTTATGGTAAGAGTTTCAGCCAAAAATCTATAAATCTTCGTTGCTTTAGTAATTAGGGAGATAATAGATTTTACTTATGACTTCCTATAGAAATGTAAAAAAAAATGTTTTCAACTTCACTTGTACTTAGTGAGATCAATTTGAACTGCCTGAATGTGGATGGTTTATTGGGCCACTAATTCAACAGCAAAAGAACAATAGTTTTTGTTTGATGCGAGATATTTAGAATATGTAAATCTGGTTATGTACTGTATTTCATAGTTACATAGTCAAGTTGAACCTAAACCTGAAGCTTATCCAGAGGAAGGCACAAAACATCTATAAAGCCCCGTTCACATTGAGCGATTTATCGCGTGGTAATTCCCGCGATATCGTGGCAAATTACCGCGCGATATCGTGCTCCAATACATTTCAATGGGGCAAAGGGTCCTGCTGTCGCGGGTCGTGTGTCGCTACAGCAGGACCCTTTTTGGAGCGGATTTAGCCGCGATTCAAGCTTGCTCAATGCAAGCTTGAACGCGATATTGCGCGGCAAATCTCGCGATGCCGCGCAATATGCAAATCGCGCGACAAACGCGCGATTTGCATATCGCGCAGTGGGAACGGGGCCTTAAGTTTTGTCCAATTTGCAAAACAGCAAACAGCAAAAAATAATCCATCCTGATCTCTAAAGACAATTGGATGTTCCCTCGATCAACAATATAGTTGTATTTCTTATAAATATTAATATTCAGGTATATATTGTGAATTTAAAAACAGATCCATCCCTTTTTTGAAGCATTTTACTGAGAAGGCAAGAACTGGGTCCTTCGGAAGACTATGCCACATTTTCACAGCTATGACTGTACAGATCCCCTTCTGCATGTGGAGGTTACATTTCTTTATCTCCGGGGGTAAAGAGTGCCCCTTTGTCTTGTGTAATAGGCACAAACACAGTAAAAAAAAATTTGACATATGTCAGAATCATTTACAAGTGCTCAAGAGGGTTAGGGATAGGGCAGTAGTATACTTTTTTTTAAAAGCACACTTATACTTCAAAGTAAGTTTGTCCCATAATCTGTCTCGCTATGCCTATGTTGCTCTGCCTCATTGTACAATAGAACTGAAAAATCTCCTACAATGTATATTTAAATTTGAATATGTATTCTGCTTTTTATTCCTTTGTTAAAATTCTGATTTTGGAAGTGTGTTATGTTTCAGATAAATGTATACCTGATGAAGAATGTGAACTGGATCCAATACCTCCCACTGAAATAGACATGGACATTGCCTTTATATTGGACAGTTCTCGAAGCGTCAGGAGTGATGTCTTTTTGCATGCCAAAGACTTTGTTAGCTCGATGCTGGATCATATTGATGTGACATCTCAGCCTGGAACACCAGGCACTGGAGCTAGAGTAGCTCTGGTTCAACAAGCCAATCCTAGCTTTCTGCCTAATCGAAATATAAGCCCTGTCAAGACAGAGTTTGATCTTGTTAGTTACTATGACAGGAATCAAATGAAAGAGCACATTGAAGAGGCTGTAACACAACTGGAAGGTCCATCATCACTGGGTTATTCTCTTGAGTGGACCATAGAAAATATTTTCAAAAAGGCTCCCAATGCAAGAAAGCACAAAGTCATTTTTACACTCCTCGGGAGTAAAACAAGTGTCTGGGACAGAGCAAAATTGAAAGAAATATCCACGAAAATCAAGTGTGAAAAATTTACATTATTTGTTCTAGCCTTTGGAAAGGAAATAAACCATAGTGAACTGAAAGAACTTTCTAGCCTCCCCTATGATCAGCATGTCCTACATCTGCTTACAGCTGCAAAGCCAGAGCTGGCGTATGCTAATAGATTCACCCAAGCCTTCATTCATCTTCTAAATAGTAAGTGGCAATGTACTTTATAATGTAATTTATACACACTTGGGAGTAGACAGAACCATGACAAGATACCTTGTACCCATTTAAAGTAATTAAAGTGCTGCTTTTTCCCTTGTCGAATGGTAGATTCTTGGTGTCAGACTTAGTTTCCTGTGGAGTCAATTTTTAATTTCTAGGGTTCAGTCCTAATAATGTTTTTCTTAAAATGCACTGCACTACGACGAGATAGATTTCATGTGGTGTATGCCACCTCCAGGATCGCCGTATTAAGATACCGGATAGTATAGCTCAACGCTATACTTCCAAAGCGAGAGGAGAGTTGTGGAGAGTTGTGGCTCACCTACACAGATGCTATACTGTCGTTTGTCCACCCCTTGTCCATTGACTTAACGACTTCTATTTTGTTAACCATTCTCTCTTCCAGCTAATTTTTGAGTCTTAATTTTATAGTGTAGGGCTCACCCCCGAAGGAGCCGCTGGATGAATGGGTCTTCCATAGCCTGTACAGGGATTTCTAGTAACCTGCTGCCCCAATAGCACTTACCACCTCCAGAGGCGACCAACAAAGCGAAGTCCAGACAGTAGATAAAACCTGAATTTATTTTATTGCTGAACTTCAGGGAGAGAGGGTCAGGGTCAGGCACATCCAGAAGGAGGTAGACTCCTTTAAGCAATAGAACAGAGTAATTGCTGCCATCACAGACTAGGACATTTAAGCCATACATGGCAATCTGCAGAGAACATCAGGCAAAGGAGCACTTCAGAAGTCCTCGTACATGTTCATCTCCAGAATAAGTAGCTGACCACTGGGCCTCCAGATGCGACACAGCGCTTTATATTGTAAAGCGCTGTGCAAACTATTGGCGCTATATAAATCCTGTATAATAATAATAATTCGAGCCCTAGCGTCAGTATCAATGGCCAGGAGACACAAATGCTCAGAACAATCCCTATTGGCTGCTCTGCTCTGTGGCAGAGACACACCCAGCAAGAGGCAGATGCAGCAACCATAGATTGTTCTGGAGAAATTAGATGCACATAACTACAGATCCCTCTCAGACTAACTACAGTCTGAGAATAACTAAATTCACCAGCACTCCTGTTTTCAGTTTTTCAAAGCTTGGGAGGAAGTCCAGAAGCTTAATATATCACTAAGCTGAACAGCTATTGCTAATTGTCTATTACCCTCCCTATTTTGGTGTCATCCGCAAACACGGAAATATCGCTGTTAACACCCTCCCCGATGTTGTTGCTCTGTAGTAAGCAGGACTGTTGCACTGTGGTTTATATTTCTGGCTTTGTGCCATCCAAGATAATAAGTTAATATGAAGATGATAGAATCTAGAAACATACTTCTGTAGCGTCAAAAGCATATGCACAGACATGTGTGGCTGCTTTTAACTGATACGCACTAAAGATGGCTTTTTATTCGAATGAGAGTGCTGGCATTCTTCACTCTGTACATATGACTGAGGACCTGAGGAGGTCAAGCTGAACACTTTGCTGTCAGCAGTGATCACATCTCAGCAGTGACATGCACTGGCTCTTGCTGCATGATCTGGTTTATTTACCTCTAAAATGTAATCTGCTTGTTTTTTGTCATTCTTTATTAACATGACTTTCCAGCTAGTAGCAATTTACATTCACTGACTTCATTTTTCTTTTTCTTGAGATGAAATTAACCGTTATCCAGGGTCAGCCTTCCAAGCAGAATGTGAAGGACGTGGAGATTCACTGATCTCTTTCTCGGAAAGGTATGCTGGGTACTGCATACCTTTTTCTTATAGCTGACATGAAGCAAATATTCAGGTAGCATGCAACATAAAGAAATATGAAAATTGAAGCTTCTTTAAATAGATTTCTATTCAATAGATTTCTATAAGATTTTCTGCTACTTTGTGCATCTAAAAAGCATAATAGATGAATAGAGACAGGGCCGGACAGGCCATCGGGTATACCGGGCACTTGCCCCATCGGCCGGGCCGAACAAAATCAGCCTGATTGTGTTCGGCCCGGCCTGGCTCGGCCCAGCCTACTGTGCCCGATGGCCATGTTCTGAGAGCTCAATTGATCAGTGAGCACAGAGCAGCCAGGCAGAACAGACACAGAGCGGAGCCACCGCGCCCAAATCACCAGCAGAATTCAGACCAAGCTGGGAGGACTGTGCAGGACGACGGGATGTGAAAAGAACAAGATCAGAGAACACCGGAGTCCCAGAGAAAGTAAACTGACAGGGGGAGGGGGTGGGGAATCACTACCAGACACTGAGGAGTGACCGGAACTCCACCACCCCGTGTTGGACACGTGGGGGGGCACAGGAGCCAAACTAAGGACACAGGGGCTAGACTGAGGGGAGACACAGGGGCCAGTCTGAGAGGACACAGCAACCAGAGTTAAGGATGACACAGGGACCAGACGGAGAGGACACAGGGGCCAGATTGAGGGGATACAGCGGCCAGACTGAGAGGACATGGGCCAAACTGAGCAGAGACATAGGGGGCCAGACCAAGGGGAGACACAGGGACACACAGGGGCCAGACTGAGAGGACACAGGGGCCAGACTGAGGGGAAACACAGGGGCCAGACAGAGAGGAGACACATGGGCCAGACCAAGGGGACACATGTTTTAGACTGAGAGAACACATGTATCAGACTGAGGGGACACAGGGGCCAGATTGAGGGGGAGGCATAGACCAGGCTGAGGGGACACATAGACCTGACTGAGGGGGCACATAGACCAGACTGAGGAGACACATAGACCAGACTGAGGAGACACAGGGGCCAGACTGAGGGGACAGACACAGGGGCCAGACTGAGAGTTTTTTAATATGTGTTAATGCATTGCACCCCTCACACTGTATGAAGCAAACTTTCTATGTTTTAGTAAAATATTTGAGTTTTTAATACGATTATAAATACAAATATGTTATTTCTGTTGGTTTGTAATATTATAAATACATAAACCTTGCATACTACATTCATATAATGGGCACACGTTTAGCAGACACAGCCTGAACTTTTGAGGTGTACAGTGAAAAGCACTTTATTTACACCACATGTAAACAGTGTAGCTAACACTAGTATATGTCATAGTGCCCCTTATATTGCTGGTCAGCAAGAGGAAAAGGTGGACCGTGTCTGTGGAGGAAAAAATGGAAGGCATAGGTGGTTAGCGGGAGAAACAAATTTCTTGTATTGATGGCCAGGGGGAGGAAAATGTCTAGCATTAGTGATCAGAGGGAGAAAAACATAGTCAACGCTGGTGGTCAGGGAGAGGAAGGATACCCTGTATCAGTGGTCAGTGAAAGGAAGAAAAGGCAGGCGTGTTGGTCAGTGGGAGAAACATAACCTGTCTTTGGAGGTTAACTGTAGGAAAAAATGCCCGGAGTTGGTGGTCAGTGGGAGGAGGAAAATTCTTGGTCTCGGTGGACAATGGGAGAAAAAGTGCCCCAGTGGAAGGAAGAGGGGGCACTCGTGCGTAGTAGGGGGAGGGGGGCACTGGTGCACAGTGGGGGGGGGGAAAGGAGGGACATTGGTGTTCTGTTGGGAGAAGGGGGGACCCCATACTCTGTAAGGGGAAAGGGTAAGCACTAGTGCTATGTTGAGGGTGGGGGGAGCATTGATGCACTATCAAGGGAGAAGGAAGACACTGGTACTCTGTGGATTGATATCTAACTTCTAACCCTTTCCTCTCCTTCTGATTGTTATGTATCCGAGTATCAGAACTAGAAACTGTCTGTATTGCTTCATCCAACAGTCAGATTGAAACATGAATTGGAAAGCCATTGTTAGTGAATCTGAGTGGCTGCTGTCAGGCTGGACATACAGTTCGCAGAACACTTTCCTTCTGTACATCCAAAGTCATCCTCCTGTAAGCCTGGAGTATACTTTTGGGCTCAGTGACCCTGGCACAATCTGTTGTCGCTCTGGTCTCCCAGCGTCACTTTCACACTATGCATACCCTAATATGACCACCCTTTGTCTGACCGTCTTCACATGTGTCTGCAGGAATAGTCTGTTCATTTCTTCTGAAAGCTTTTTGCTATTAATTAAAGTGACATTAAACCCTCAGATTTTTTAACATAAAACAATACTGTAATGTGTGCCTTACTGCAATCCATGGTTGTTTGCCTTCTCTTTGCTGCTCTTCCTTTTAAATCTGTATCTCTTCTCATGCTGGGCAGAACTTCTGTTTTGCAGCAGACTGCCTTGTCTCTGAAATGGATACATGGTGTCTGTGTGTATGTTTGCAACCTGAGCCAGCACTACAGGAAGAGGCACTCAGCTGCAAACGGAAGTTCTCCCCCAGCATGAGAAGACATGAGGATTTAAAAGGAAGTGCAGCAAAGAGAAGGGAAACTACCATGGAAAAAATCTGAGGGTTTAATGTCACTTTAACTATCCACACGCCCCTTTCGCTGCCTTCCTCTGCAGGAACTATAATGCTTTTGTCAGACAGGAAATTACTCCGCCTGAAAGATTAGTAAAGCATCTGAAGTTGGGTCCAGAAAAAAGTGTTCCTGCACCAGGCGGGCAGCAGCACACAGCATGGATTTGCGGGACAACAGGATTTTGTTAGAATACTTCTGTCCACTGGCAGACACCTTGATGAACAGAATAATGTGCCAAATACATCTCCCCTGATTCTTTCAGTGCTGTTGGTCCTGGGTGCCTTACAGCCCTGTTGCTGTAATGCATCACTATGATTGCGCATGGTGTGCTGTTTCCCATTGCGTAGGCCACTGTTTCTGCACAGACTCAGGGGGAGATGAGGGCAGAGACATATAGCTTGCTTGTGTGAACCATGGTGAGCAGAAACTATGCAGGAGAAGGATGACTTCACCATCCATTATTTTATGAATGATTGATAATGACAATAATTATGATCATCATTATAGTAATCATTGAATGGGATATCTTTTTAGTGCTTCCTACACTGAACTTGAAGTTGAGCCCACAGAGCAAACTGGAGAGTTTGCGGAAAGAGAAGTGGAAGATTACTATTATGAGGGAGAAGTGGAGAGCGATATCCTTCTGGAACCTACAGTAGAGACTGAGAGTCTAACAACTGAAACCGAGGTCACAACCACTGGTATGTACAAGCGTGCATATAAATAAATGTCTCAATAATACAGTTCCAGTGAATTTCATCCTAATCCAACATATCCCAAATGAATAACTCAAAAGAAAAATACATCTGTAGACCATTTGTCTTTTGGGAAAGACCAGCTGAATTTCATGAAATACTTTTGTAACTTTAGCTCATTTAAACTAATCAGCTATCTGCTTTAACTCCCCATTCTGCACTAGAGAAGACATAAATTGTAGTGCACATCTGTTTAATTTTGTTTTAACTCAAATTTTAAAGATTATTATCTTTGTTGTTGTATAGATTTCCTTATAAAACTGTCAATTGGACTATCATGAATGAAACAGAAAACATATCAGTTACTGATCTGAGGTGCTACTAGTGTTTAGTGGAAGCAATAGGTAAATTATTAATATTCATTGAATTAAATAATAGATATTAAAGAAAAAAAAAACGGAGTCTCTTTTCAGTCACAGGAGTATACAGTATTTACTAATAACCTCTTGGGGCCCAAAGTCAGCATATAGTGGGCTAATGCCTGCCATTTGCTAATGGAGCAGCACCATCTAGTTAATACTAGCCAAACAGTAAAAAGCAAGCATTTTGCTGTGCAAACAAGCCCCTTAAGGGAAGTTGAGAAAATAAACTGGCAGGATCATCGGGTAACAAAACTATGTTACAGTGGGGAAAAAACTAAGATTGCTGTGTCAGTGCTAATAACAGATCCATTATATATGTAATTTTTTGTTTTGCCTATAGCTCAACTTTAACTGTATGCTATGAATTCTTATGAACTAAATTGATTTCATAAATCAAGTATTTTGTTATGGTTATTGTGTAATGTAAATTATGCATTGCTAAATTACTGATAACTCTTAAGATGATTCTCCCCTCTTGTAAAAACTTTTCTGTTTAATTTTGCTTAGCATCCAATGCACTTCCATTCATCCACTTCTTAGCACGCTGTTTGCCTAATTGCACAAACATTATTAACAGATATCTATATGACCCATGTTCCTTTTAATCCAGCAATATTTAAAAAGAACATTATAGGTATTTTCTTCTTTTCTTAACAGTTTCATGGATTGTTTAAAGTAATGTGTTTCCTAGAGATGAGCCGTAAATTGGGAGATGTCTGTGAAATTTTTCCATGTTAGCGAAATACATTGGATTCCATGGTGGTGGTGAAAGGGAGTTGCTGAGGGTTACAGAAAACCTTTTAATCTATCATGGATCTGTTCTTGTTTCAAAAGTGGCCCAATTAATGTAATTGTTTTGCATCTTTTCTCTCCTTTTTGCACAGGAAAAATTAAAACAAAAAACACAGTACACAAATAAGAATACAAAACACAAATACAAACTGTGTAAACTAAAAGAATGTTACAACAGAGAAAAAAGTAGATTTTCAGTAATTTTTCAGAGAATTCCATTTCGTCAAAATCATTTCACTTATCCCTAGAAATTGTCTGTGTTGGGAATGAGATGTGTTCGGCATGGCTAATACCATAATATGGAGCACAATGCTGAAAATATATAGTATTTCATTTAAAATATATCTACAGCCTAAACTTTTAGTTTTATTTTTGAATAGCACGAGGAAGTATTTTGGGGTTTTAATTTCTGTCTGTATCCACTGGGTAGATTCACCTTTTCCTTATTTAAAATTGATTGGAAATCCAAAATGTTACAGCTGTCACAAAAACAAGGATATAATATAATGGTCTACATGTAATCAGTGTGTCACTGTACCACACGGTAGTATAAAAATTCAAGGTAATAGATAGTACCAATCATCAGGTTAACCAGAGTAAATATTTACCATAGAGTCATGCCCTTATACAGAGGGAATGCCAATCACATGGTATCCACATCAGAGCATACTGTAGATAATATCAAGATGGTGTTGGTTTTCCAACGTTAGGCTCCATTCACATATAACGTTTGCATATCCCGCAACGCTAAAATCTTTACATCTGCACGGATTCTGCATGTTTGCGGCTATTACTATACGATAAATAACCTGATTTCAAACGAGTGTGGTTCATAGGACTGGTAAATGTCAGTGTATTTGGCTTTCATCTACATAGTTTTAATAAAGTTTTTTAAATGGTAATACACTATTTTGAGCTGCTTTTGCTATTTTATTTCCCGCTGCATTTTCCAACAGAGAGCCTTTATCAGATTAGACACAAAAATCCTGATTGGCTGGGAAGCCGCTTCGATGCTGATTGGCTGGGAAGCCGACTTCCCAGGCAATCAGCATTGAACCGGCCAAACAGCATGGAGCCAGCTTCACCAGTAGCGGCATCGGCGAGCATTGTCATGTAAATATCAGGGCTCACAGCAAACAAGTTTGTGTTTCTCAAAAGCCAGTAAAGGTTTGATTGTCCACGATGACAGCCTATAGGTTGGTATTGTTGCCCCTTGCTTTTATAATGACAAATAACACATGTGATGTCAGGTTCTTCTGCTCAGGACAGGTGTCCCCAACATGTCCAGGCTTGCCACTAGGGAGGAGCTTAGGTTCGGACTGAACTCAGTTTGAACCTGAGCTCAACTGAACAAAAAAGTGCCATGGGCACTTCCACCCAATCAGCTGCAAGCCAGGCATTCCCACCCTGACCTGCATGTAAACAAAGGATGTTTGTACTGATGTAATTCACCAAATATGGTCAAAGAGCCCTATTAGGTAAAGGTAATTCACTAAATATAGGCATGTAGCCATATAAGGTCAATTACATAACTGCATACCGCCCCTTTGCTTACATAAATCTGCTGTGGGGAATTCCCCGCACACAGCTAATTGGGTGGTACAAAAGGAGCTTCTTTCCATTGTTTGGGAGGAGCTCCTTCTGGATTCGGAGGAGCTCAGGTTCCAACCGGGTTCGGTTTAAACCTGAGCTCATCCCTTCTTGCCACAGGGGCTTGTAGCAGCTGTATATGTCATTTGATGCCCACTGCTTACCAGAAGCTCCAGGTGCTAGTTGCTTGGAGGTTTGGCTTGCAGGTAAAGCAGCTGTTGCGATGGGTGATTTCCCTCTTTTTAAGGGGAAGCCTTGCCGTAGTCAGATATGCAAGTGTTTGTAGGTATCTCCAATACTACAATATACTTCAGGTGCCAATTGATACTTCATACTTATAGAATCCTTTATAGTGCCATAATCATCATCCTTCCTAGCTGGCAATTTTAGTAGGCCCCCATGCTTTGCCTTTCAGCCCAATGGTGCTTCCCTGTGCTCAAGGGAACTGGGGGTCTGATCCTGTTACTATTGCTGTAGCTTAGCCATCTCCAGTTTGTGCTGATAAGCAGCTTCCCTCTGTGCAGTCTACCTCTATGCTTAATGCTCCACAAACTCTCTCTGAGCCTGTCTGTCATGTACCTGTAGGAGGCCAAGTGATGTGAGGGCTTCCTTTACACCTGTTGTCTGGCACCCCCTGGAGCTGGAACACAGTATGTATACGGGTGCCTACAGTTGGTCTGGATGCAGCAAGGTGTCAGCAGTCCATCTGGAAACTGGAAAGTAGTAGAGACAGGATACCAGGACGTCAGGATATGGCAGAGGTACACATGCAGTAGGCAAGGAGCGAAGTTGGGTATATGAGCTAAGGTCAGATACAGTCGGGCAGCAAGGTATAAAGGCAGTGAGCAGAGAGCATTGTCAAGGTAGCATTGACAGAGTCAGGTAAGCCAACTTAAAACACAGGAAACACACAGGTCAGATCACAGGAGGCAGGAGATAATGACCACTCAGCAACTCTTCTAAGGTGCTCAGGTTTAAATAGGCCACTGGGTGTCAAGTGCATGCTCTTTCTTGCTCATGTGCACACACATCAGCCAGTGCGTCCTACACGCAGTTTTATGAGCCAGCATAGCTCTTTGCCATGAGCCATGTCCACGCGCCTATCTAGGGGCACTGCCTTCAGCTTGACCTTCCTATCACCCGCGCGCACACGCAGATCTTTGGGCATGGCTGCGTGCTTGATTTTCCTGACACTCTCCCTCAACCTGGTGATTGAGAAACTCTAGTGTTTACTAAATACAGAGACTCCAGAAATGTTGTGTACATTAGAAAGATGGGAGTCATACTCACTACCAATGGCAACAATGAAGAATGGTGAAAGAACACACTGTCTCATCTACGACAAGCTAAAGTGTTGTGTGTTTAAGGGAAAGCCCTTTTAAGACTGCAAGGAGTTTCTTAGGAACCATGACATTTGCTTCAGATGTTGTACAGCTACAGTTTACTTTGGCACAGACTGCAAAGCTACAGTTAAATGATCGGAATGTGGCAGTGACAAGCACATGCCAGCCTTACACTGAGACCTCTTTAAACAGGACTCTTCATCCACTGAAGATCTTACACCTGCATGAGATCATGACAGGCAGAGCCATGAATAGTCACCTCCAATCATTATAGTGAGCTACATCACAAAAGACTTTTAGAGAAAACCAGTGACAAAATATGTTTGGTCACTGTGTTTTGTCAAGGTTCACCAAAGAAAGTGGTCAGGATGCATGTGGTGTTAGATGACCAAATAACTAATTTATTTAGAACCTCAGAGTTTTTATAACATATTTAATGTAAGAGGGAGAAGTATTGTCCTACATCATGCACACCTTTGCTGGCACAGAAGAAACCACAAGAATTATCGCTGAACAATTCATCTTTTCAGACATAAAAGCAAATGATGGAAATCATCTTTCTATACCCATCCAGTGTGATAAAATACCTAATGATGAAGAGGAGATTCCTACACCAGAAGATGCATGTTCTGTATACTGTTCAAACAGTGTGCTCATGTATAAAACTATTGTTGAGATCATTTAAAATGCTCTTTAAATCTCTCAAAACTCATGCTACAGGGAATTAAAGCCAATACCAACTCTGACAAAAAGAGATCCAGCACAACAATGCAGATGTTGATCAGTTCTTGGACTGTGTAACTAGTTCGTCTAAATCACTATCTACTATAGCAGATGCAACAAAGTTGCTCACAGAGGACTAGCTGCAACCTCAAGCTAATTTTGTCATAAATCAAACTAAACATGGCAAAACAGTAACATACTTCCACTTAGAAAATATTGATGAAAGCTCCAAAGAGTTTGACTCTACATTCCTGCAACAGAGTCTTGACGTAACCTACAATTCAGCTGCAGGTTCCTCCATCAAGACCCATGCTGATACATCTGACAGCTCAAGCATTACAACAGGAACTGAGCTAACCGTGAAAGAGCTCATTGGAGTCGTCTACACCAGTCATTGTGCAAAAACATCATTTTCTTTGAATGCTGCAAGCAGAGTCTTCTAGACTTGTCAAGAAGTTATTTTAACCATTTAGAGAGACTATCCTGCTTCCACCCATAAGGGACCTTGGAGGCTTTGCCACCCTTGGGCAGGTGACCTGATGTCTGCATGGACTATTCCAGAAAACGTTCAGACTTATCTGAGACTTAATTGTTCCCTTATGAACGTATGTGCATATGTTTGTTTAATGTCTCTTATTTTTTCAGGTCCAGAAGACAAGTCACTCATTTTCATTGACTTATTGTTATGTAATGTTTAATGTTGCAATGTCATTGCACTATTAATATAGTGGTATCTACTGATAGCAGGTGGGTGTGTGCTGCCACACCAGCCTGCTTATTAATTTTTTTGCCCTTGGTATATTTTCTTGTTCTCTAGCTTGGGCATAGTTATTACAGTCCCTAGCTAGATACTTCCTGATTTCTTATCCTGTTCAATATAGTTTAACTTTATACTACAAAGAGAGGGCTTAGGAAAGTCATTGGTTTCCTACACTTCAAAGGACTGGAAAAACATCCTTTGTATTGCCCTTATCTTAAGTCAAACTTTGTTGGATTCAGCTTGTTTGTCTTATCGAAGAATTAAGCTGCCTGTGGATCCTGTCAAGTCAGCAAGTGATCATACTGTCCACACAGACTTAGTCTAAGGAGGTATGTCATTGCATATATCGGCATTTGAAAAAAAACTCATGCCAAGTTTATACTCGGTATCTCTCAGTCTCTTTGAAGCTCTTCTCATGTAGTACTTTAAAATCCAGGGCAAATGTGTTACAATTGCACTTACAGCATAAACTCTTGCTTCTTTACATATCTTATAAAATCATCAGCAATGACAATCCTCCCTAAGTCAGGACTCATGAACCTTTAGCATGGTTAGCATGTCCCATTGCTACAGGAAACCCCACCGGATCCTCTATTGATGTATTTTGAGTGTGAACTGCTCCCTTCTTTAAAAAAAAAATGGTCTATAATGTAAAATTGTTTTTCTCTTATACCTCAAAAAACCTTGTATCTGCAGATGTAAATAACTATTGATAAATGTAAAAGACCTTCAAAACTTTTAAGCAGTAGATGTAAAATAGTAGTTAAAATACATGGCAGTTAATATTTTCTACTTTATACTGAAGGAAAAAAGACATTTGAGCCAAACTTAATAAAAATTAAATCTTAAGTCTGACTCCAGTCGCCATAAGCACAAAGAGAAAGCTGGATGACGTAGAAATATTCTACTGAACTATTGATGTTTTTCTATATTAGAAAACACTCCTTTTCTCATTCACTCCTTCACTCCTAATTACTGAAAATCAAATCTCTTAACACCTTTGTGAAGAAATATCATATCCTTGCATCCGTGTAAATTACATCAAAATCGCATTCTTAACTATCTCAAAATAAGTCAATGGCTTTAAAGCAACACTAAACTCAGGAGTTAAATCTGAAAAATGCATTCAAGTACCCTAACTATTAAAAATACTGAACCTTATTTGTTCATCAATCAGCTGTAGATCCTCAAATCATCTCTGAATTCATGCTGTCACTGTCTTTCCTTCTGAAGACTGGCTACTCTTGTTCCCCATGGTGCCTGTGTGTGTTGTAAAGTAGCCATCGCTGGAAGCTCACTCCCGTGATGGACCACAATCTCAAGTTTAGTTTACTAATTTGTATTGAGATTGTAGTCCATCATGAGAGCGAACGTGGAACATGGAGCCTCTACTATACCGGGAGTGCAAGAGGCTGATACCAAGTCAAATACAGATACTTCGACTGCTTGCATTTGTAAAAATGCATATAATGATTTATTGATGAATGCATAGCTACATTTCTTTGTGTCTTTTGTATCTGGCTGTAGTTCAGCTTTAAAAAGTGCTAAATATTACAGAAATCAAAGAGAAAAAAACAGGAAAGGGTTGTTGTCTTATGCAAGGCATATGATACATGAAGCTGAAGAAAAATGATCATAGCACAACAATACGCTGCTTCTGTGACATTGGATACAACTCATGTAGCCACTAGTAGAAGTAAGGGTATTTCTGTTTAACCCTGCCTCTTTCAGTTGCAGAGAGGTGCCTGTTGGATGTGAGTCATGGCACAACATGCGGGGACTTCCAGCGCATGTGGTACTATATAAAAGATGTTGATGCATGCTCCCAGTTCTGGTATGGAGGTTGTGATGGCAATGGAAACAGATTTAGCACTGAGAATGAGTGTCTACAAGCTTGTTCTTCCAAACGTAAGTTTTGCTTGGCCCACAAGAAAGAGAAGTCAAAATCAGTTCTGTGAAATCCTAACAAAGAGCATGTTGTGTTTTTGTGTATTGTGGCTTGTGCGATGAAGCTGGAACTGCTTGCAGGAGAGAAACAAAATTATATCCCCACAATGTTTCCTAAAGTTATTTTATTCCAGAGAAAGAAAATCGACACTGGATTTCTTTGGGAAAAACATTAGCCAGTAAAATATTCGAGCTCTGTTAAAAATTGGCATAAAAGTATATTGCATTAACTCCTCATCAGAAGCAGAGGAAGGAAAACGTTGTAAGCCAGGGTAGAACTAATCTAAGGGAAAAAGTGTATTCTGTAGTTTTCTTTCCATCTGACTATTAGGATCATCTAGCGTAGTTCCATGGTCTTTGTTTAAACTCAAGGTCATTCAGAATATGTTTTACTATTGTGGATTTTTTATGGTGTTGTCTTGTGAATACTAATAATTCTAGTAGTAAGGTTTTAACTGAACCTCTCTATTCTCAGGTGTTTCACAAAACTATCTAATACTTGAGATTCTAAATATGTGGGTCTGACTTTTGGAACTATGGTTCTTCTTTATTTAATGCTGTTTGTTTATAGTGTCTTTATTTTTACCTACAAATAAGGTGCAGCAATAAACCTATGTACCTTGTGTAATTCTGTAACTGAAGAAGTACACAGGTGGGCAGACTGCATTTATGAATTGAGGCAGTCGACATCAAAAAGTGATATTGTTCAAAAAGGCAATCACCCCATAGACTCCCATAGCAGCACAACTCAGTTATGTTACACCAACCTTGCACATTATCACTGTCCTTTGCACTGTTTTATATAACAACACTATATATGTAGTGTTTACTTTGGTATGATCCACTCATACAGGTACCAAAGTCCTTATTAAAGGGACACACTAGCTAAATGTAAACTTAAGAACTTAGATACATACTGTATAGGGAGCACAGCCTGCCTGTTTAGTACTTTAGTTTTTCATCCAAAAAAATGCTGTACTGCACCATTCCACATCACTTTCTTTTCAGTATAATCCAATGATCCTGAAGTGTACCTGCTGGTGTTGCTAGAACACCATACATGCTGCCATCAAATGCAAGAAGCTTGATGTTAAAAAAGATCAGTACAAAGATGTTTTTGCTTGGGAAGTTTGAATATGATAAGTAATGAAGAAAGTACACTCCTACTGGCTTCTGGGTTGGTCTGTGGGTGCTGTGTATATAAAGGATTGCACAATATTCAGATTGAGGTACACTGACTGGAATTACCCTAATTTCATGAATTCCTGGAATTGAGAAGAACTTTACCCTATGGGAACAAGGGAAACCTTACATGGGTGTTAACTGTTCCCTATTCTATCTAATACAATCAGAAAAAAAAAGTTTGCACTGAAGTTACACTTAACAATTTGCTTATAGAGATGTTTAAACTGAATTTTCAATTGTATTTTATAATTTACACTCATAAAGCTGCACTATGGACTAAAACATCTACATTCTATGGGTATCATGGACTTCTTCTTTCTTTTATTGTTCAACATTGCTTTTAACAGTCTTCCATGCATAACTTAGTTTGCACGGTTACTGATGTTCTAAAAACGTATTGCATGATTTCTTTCTCTATATTCCTTCTCTTTATAAAAAAATGATGATCTAAGTGGCAGCAATCTGTCTTGTGTGTGCAGTCTCATTTGTCTAGTTTAGCCTTAAGGGAGGCATACAAATGAAATCAGTCTGTATTCAACCACTTTTGCTGGCATATGTAATCTTTGTATATTTTTATTCTGTAAGCAGGTCAAAGAACTAGTGAAGGATCAGAGCTCCTTAGCAAAGGTATGTCGTTTTACATACTACTGTAGAATTTATTGCATTTTTATTTCATTTTTGTGCAGATAGTATACCGAATATTTGAAACTAAGCTGGAAATTGATCAGAAGTGCCTGTCATTGTGGTGGTTTTGATTGATTCCATTACACTTTTTTTACTTCTATTTTGAGAACACTTTTTTCTTGTTTAAAAAAAGGAAATAAAAGCCAGCGGTATGAAATACCAGAGAAACAGAGGCCAAAAAATGAAATGTTCTGTAACAAATCAAAGATAAACTTCAGGCAAACAGTTACATACACAGATGAAAAACATATAGTTTTCTACCCACCAAAGGATTTTTATTTGTCTCCATCTTGTCCTGGGACTTTCACAGCTCTGCCACTCTGCAAAGTCCTGTCTGGGGTGCAAGAGACCTGGATTTTCTCTGTTGCTGTTCAGTAACACTTACAGGTCTTGTCCCTCCTTCCTACCCTGAGACTAGCAGTAAAATGAAAAGCAGCAGCCTGATGATCTCATCTCTCTGTCAGCTCTCTCTTCCCAGAATGTTCCTTGCGAGCACATGAGCACTGCAGCACAACTGACTGGCTCCTTGCACTGCTCCTCCTTTCCCTAGTCTAAGCTCTGCTGTATAGGGGAATGCAAGAGGCTTATGCCAAGTCAAATGTGGATACTTACACTGCTTGATGAATGATGCATTAATAAATCAATAGCTACATTAGATTGAACAGATACATTAGAGGGTTCAGCTTTAAGTGGTCTGCTGGATGAGTTGTTTTAACACATTAACCGGTGAAACAGATAAGCATTCATCCATGCCCATTTTTTGTAAAACCATGCATATTTTTCTTAGTGCCAACCTGTAGTTAAGATTAATTATTTAAACAGAGAGAGTCTGTGCAATATGCACCTTAAGGTTCATTAGCATACCATAAACTGTACCTGTAAACCCTTTCATGTTACTAAACCATTGGATACATCCTGGCTGGCTTCCAGGTTATGGAGCTAGCAGATGCAGTCCGCCCCATGCTACAATGCAGGTCTCATTGACTGATCGGTTTAATGCTCGGTCCAAGTTCTGTTACACTGAGATGTGCCTAAACAAAAGGAAATACCAACTTTCAGAATGTCTTGTGTTTGCATAGGATAAGCTAACATCATATTGAAGGTGTTACCAGTAAACAGGGGCATTGCTAGGTTTGTGAAAGAACTGGTGCACTTGAGGTCAAGAGCAGAATTATGAGGCTACGTGCATAACTCGCCATGCTGAATGATAGCTGTTGCCAATTAGGGGGGGTAAATAATTAATTAAAATAATAATTATTTGTAGCCTAATGTTTTATAAAGTACGGTTGCAGCAATGCACAATGGCACCCTCTATAGAGGACTACAAATCTCAGCAGTACTTTATACAGAAATGCTATTGTTATATAAAGTATTGCTGGGATGTGTAGTCCTCTATAGCCTGTGCCATTCTGCATTGCTGTAAATATTAGGGTTGCACCAATATATCAGCCGCCAAAAGATATCGGCCGGAAATTGCACTTTTGGCTAAATGCCAAAAGTCCAATTTTTCTGCTGATACAGCAGCGCATCCCTGCTTTCTTTCCTCCCCGCTGTACGCTGGGGAGGAAAAGTAGTGTAGAGGTCAGGAGTGCATAATGCAGAGAGTCAGGAGTCAAGAGTGCTGGGATCAGGAGTGTGTAACGTACGGCAGGGGTCAGGGGTGTGTCAGAAGTGAATACTGTAGTGGAGAGATCAGAAGTACATTTAACAGACAGTTCTGCAGATAGGCATGCATATTACAGAAGGAACAGGGGTCAGAAGTACGTATTGCACAAAGTACAAGGGTGGAGAGTGTGTAATACACAGAGTGCAGGGGTCAGAGTGCATATAACACAGAGTACAGGAGTAATGAGTGTGTCGGTAGTGTATAGCATGCTCCATGCAAGGGTCAGGAGTGCATATTGCACAGAGAGCAGGGGTCAAGAGTAAGTAAGTAATGCAGAGAGTGCAGAGGTCATGAGCAAGTATCATAGAGAGTGCAGTGGTTAGGAATGCGTATTGCTTAGTGTACAGGAGTCAGTAGTATGTATCACAGGGTCAGGAATGAGTATCAAAGAGACTGTGGGGATCACACTTGCATAGTGTAGAGAGTGCAGGAGTGTATATTGCATAGAGTAAAGGGATCAGGAGCGTGTAATGCATTGCAGGGGTCAGGAGTACATAATTCAGAGAGTTCAGGGGTCAGGAGTACATAATGCAGAGAGTGCAGGGGTCAGGAGTGCATAATGCAGAGAGGTCAGGAGTGCATAACTCAGAGAGTGCAGAGATTAGGAGTGCATATTGCACAGTGTAGAGGGGTGAGTAGTTTGTATTGCCCAGAGTAAAGGGGTCAAGTGTGTGTAACCCAGTGCAGGGATCAGGAATGCGTAATACAGTGCAGGGGTGAGGAGTGCATATAACACAGAGTGTAGGGATCAGGAGTGCATAACCCAGGACAAGAGTCAGGAGTGAGCAATGCAGAGAGTGCAGGAGTCATGTGTGCGTAAGGTAGCGCAGGGGTCAAGCGTGTGCAACACAGTGCAGGGGTCAGGACTAAGTAATGTAGAGTGCAGGAGTCAGAGTATGTAACACAGAGTACAGGGTACTATTAGTAAATAACGCAGAGGCGAGTGTACAGCATACATCCAAAAAGTACCCTCTCCTATCAATACTAATTCCCCTCAAGCCCAATTCCCCCCAGTACA